CCACCCCCCACCCCCACTTCCCCAGCATTGACAGCTCATCAAGCATGCACATCATTTATCTTTTCTGTGATACCTTAGACACATGACACACTTTTTAAGGTACGTAAAATGTATCTGCTTCGGGTGGTTGACCAAGAAAAAATAAGTCTGAAAGGTTTACAAGATTAGCAGAAAAATGGCTTATGCAATACAGTACATAGTGTCGTATGTCATTACATGGTGCCAAAAGTGAAGATATTGAGTTTGGTTTAGCAACCATATCCCAGGTCTTAAGATTTTAATACCGTATTTGCTGTAATTAGTGCCCCCCCCCCCCCCCCCTTTTTCGGGAAGGATTGAATTTATTTCAACCTCCTCCCAATCCCTGACCTTACGTGAGGCCCAGTTAACGATTTACAGTACTTACATTATAAAGTACAGATTCAAGACTGATGATCATGACTTGACTTTGGGTTATGTAGATAGAACACTGAATATCAAAACTTCACATTTTATTATCCTAATAAGTGCCTCTATTGAAGCTAATTTCTAAGCACCCTGGGTGTTACTTATGGCAACTATGGTAGGCTGGATACTGTAGCTTAACCGTATACCAAAAATGTAAAGTGACTGTACAATGAGCTACAATTCCTGCAGCCACAAATTATTTTGAGCCGCTTCCACTGACAATCCTCTTTATGACGAAGTCAAACAAAGGAAAAAAAGTAGCTTAATAACAATGGGCCCAAGGATCACCTGAGTTCAAAGCGCTATTAATTGAAATTCTTATATCTATGTAAGCATTAAAGAACAAAACTTAATATCACAAGGACTTCATTTCCGTGTTTAATTTCTTAAAATTCACTATCTATTGATGCACAGTGTAGGAGTGACAATTTTCAGCACTGCTACAGGGGCGGATTTAAGGGGGGTGGGGGACTTGGTATTTGGATCCGAAAAAAAATCTAGAAGGCATTTCTGCGATGATTTTTTTTTAGAGAAATGTGAATAATGACTCTGTTTGTTATTCATTAAGCTTTAATTAGGGTCCCTAAATTTTGAGCTGCCCCTGCTCCTCAGCTGCTGGATCTGCCCCTGCTGCAGCACCGGATTTCTTTTATAGGTTCCTCAAATTTACATATCACTGCCTTTTCATGAATCAACATATATGTGTGTACTGCCAACATTAGCTTTAGCCGAATAGTAGACTAGACATTGGCTATATCAATAATTCTAAAAAAAAAAAGGTTTTCAATATGTGATATTGACCTTTGACCCCATGACCTTCACACTGTATCAAAACATTTCTTGCTTTTATTTCTGCAATATTTTAGTGCACAAGCATATGTATACAGAAAAGTATGCAAGTAAACGTTAACCCCAAGGGAGAACCAATAGCTCGGGGGTCCTGAAATTTACAATTTAAATAAAGCTTTTGATGATCTTTCTTTCCATGCAGAGAAAATGACTGTAGTACCTCTGAGTCTGGAGAAGAAGATTTTTGAAATATTGGTTAATTTTCCCTTTGGGGCCCCATCCTGGCCCCCTGGGAGTGGGGTAGGAATCCCAATTTTAAGATTTTGTAGCCTCATCTACCAAGGATGATTCTGACCAAGTTTGAAAAAATTCCATCCACTGGTTCTGGAGAAGAAGTTGAAAATGTAAAAAGTTTACGCACGGCGGACGACACATGACGGACGACGACAAGACCATGAAACTGACATCAGCTTTAAGGCCCAATGGGGATTTTGTTGTGTAAATGCTGTGTAATTTGTACACAGCATGATGTAGCAGTTTCATTACAAAATATGTGAAATAAAGCCAGCTAGAGATTTGTTTGTTCAGCAGTTTTACACTTCAAGTATAGTAAAATTTAACAGGATATCATTACCTCTACAATATATATGCATGAACCATGAGCCAAAAAGTGTTAAAAAAGTTCCTCCACTTAACAGGATACATCAGCAGGAAACATATTTGTACACAATACGTATCTGATTTCCTTCCTTTAAATAATCTGTAAATTAATGCATGCAAGTCACATGTCTAGAGAGGAAATATTTGCTACCACTTCACAGGACACAATAGCTTTTTTGTATGTGTCAGACAGGTATAATAATACAAGTTCATTTCCCTGTCCCTTTAAAGTATACACAACCATTATCATTCATCTTTTAAGAGGTTGAATGGTGGCTATAATACTGGATAAAATTCACCTCAAAATCACATGTCTGTCACATGTATGGTTTTCCCAGATTAGGGGATTTCCCTTTAGTCACACATGCAGATAATACACTGATCACATACATATTTTTAGGGGCAGATACCTGAGTAAACATATCTTATTGAGAGGAGAATGCAGCCTGTTTTGAGTTTCTGTCTGGTGTTGTTGGGTTTGCTGACCACCAGTGTGGCCAAGCACGATGACCAGTTGTGGCCATTTGGCAAGCACCTCAATAAAGGCGACAATAACCAGTACAAAGGTGAGTCTGAGTACATGTAAGTGGCCTATCTGCCTAACGCGGCAAAGCAGGGGTATGAGGACAAGCAGGTCAAGATCTGGAATGACCTGTGCTTTTTGTTGACTCTATATCTGTCTTAACTCATACACCCCTGAAGACACATTTGAACTCTTCCAATTCAAAGGTTGGAATAGTTCATTTTGAAATTTCAGGGGTGAATGAGTTAAGCTATATGTCGAAGACAAAAGTGTGATCTTGGAGGTTAAAATATTTAGGCTAGTGTTGACAATGTCAACTTTTAAGAAAGCAAATATATTTGGAAATGAATTATACACATTAAAAAATGCCAACTATTTTAGCAGGAAACTCTTGATTTTAGACCCTAACATTTAGCATGTCAAACCAGTGAATTTGTTAAACAATCCTAAAATACTAGGAACTAATGATTTCCAAATCAAAAACTACCCATTAGATGCCTCTTTAAAGTTATTTTTCCCTAGGGGTATTTATACACACTTTTTTTTTATGTTTTTGAGTACACACAATCTTCCCAAGGTAATTTGAAATTACTGCTGATCAAGATATTTCTTTCCAAACCTGGGTTTAAAGTACAGACTATTGCATTTTAATTGTAAAAAATATCCTGGGACATTGTCAATTAATTTTTATTGCAACAGGTTTTTCTATTTCCCCTACAATCAATTATTTGTTCCTATTTCATGCTTGAGATGTTTCAGTCAGGAAATCTTAAATAATCTTTACAGCAAGTCCTACAGGCTTATGGAATAACAAAAGGTTTGATGGGCCTGTGTCGTTCACCTGGTATTAATCTCACACTTGTAACCTTAAAAGTAAACCAAAGGCAAATGTATTTAAATGGAATGAATACAGCTACAGGCTAAATATAATTTCTCATAACTCCTGGTCATTAAAAAAAATGGGCCTAAACGAGTCCTACAGTATTTATTTTTGTTGTTGAAATATATACCAATTTGAGAACAAAATAGTTAAGTATAACGTTAACTTAAGTTTGTCAGGTCCATGAGCTGATCATTCTTAGACCGAGTTTCAGTTAAATCGGCCTATTAGAACTTGTTTTGAAGTTTGAAATAGTTTTTTCAAAATGGTGGCCGTGTCGGCCATATTGGATTTCTGATCGACCTGAAAAATAACAACACTTTGTCAGGGCCATGAGTTGATCATTCCTACCAGGTTTGAGTTCAATGGGCCCAGCAGAACTTGACTTTAAGTTTGAAATAGTTTTACAAAATGGCGGCTGTGGTGGCCATATTGGGTTTCTGATCGACCCGAAAAATAACAACACTTTGTCAGGGCCATGAGTCTATCATTCCTAGACCGAGTTTCAGTTTAATCGGCCTATTAGAATTTGTTTTGAAGTTTGAAATAGTTTTTTCAAAATGGTGGCCGTGTCGGCCATATTGGATTTCTGATCGACCCGAAAAATAACAACACTTTGTCAGGGCCATGATTCGATCATTCCTTCAAAGTTTCAGTTCAATCGGCTCCGTAGAACTTGACGTTAAGTTTGAAATAGTTTTTCAAAATGGCGGCCGTGGCGGCCATATCAGATTTCTGATCGACCCGAAAAATAACAACACTTTGTCAAGACCATGAGTCGATCATTCCAAGACCGAGTTTCAGTTAAATTGGCCTATAAGAACTTGTTTTGAAGTTTGAAATATTTTTTTCAAAATGGCGGCCGTGTCGGCCATATTGGATTTCTGATCGACCTGAAAAATAACAACACTTTGTCAGGACCATAAGTCGATCATTCCTACCAGGTTTCAGTTCAATCGGCCCAGCAAAACTTGACTGTAAGTTTGAAATAGTTTTTTAAAATGGCGGCCGTGGCGGCCATATTGGATTTCTGATCGACCCGAAAAATAACAACATTTTGTCAGGACCATGAGTCGATCATTCCTAGACCGAGTTTCGGTTTAATCGGCCTATTAGAATTTGTTTTGTTTTGACCAGGTTTCAATTCAATCGGCCCTGTAGAACTTGACGTTAAATTTGAAATAGTTTTTCAAAATGGCGGCCGTGGCGGCCATATCAGATTTCTGATCAACCCGAAAAAAAACCCCACTTTGTCAGGGCCATGAGTCGATCCTTCCTACCAGGTTTCAGTTCAATCGGCCCAGCAGAACTTGACTTTAAGTTTGAAATAGTTTTTCAAAATGGCGGCTGTGGCGGCTGTGGCGGCCATATTGGATTTCTGATCGACCCGAAAAATAACAACACTTTGTCAGGACCATGAGTCGATCATTCCTACCAGGTTTCAGTTCAATCGGCCCAGCAGAACTTGACTTTAAGTTTGAAATAGTTTTTCAAAATGGCGGCCGTGGCGGCCATATTGGATTTCTTATCGACCCGAAAAATAACAACACTTGGTCAAGGGATGTCAGTAACCTTCCCATGAAATATTAATGAAATCCCTTTGCCAGCATTTCAGCTTAAGTTGAAAATGTAAAATGTTAACGAGCTAATTAAAGCTCAGGTGACCTAAAAAACCTGTCCAAAGATGTTAACACCTTTGATCACAGCTAACAAGGTAATTCATTTCAACATACTTGAGAGTTCTTTATCCTAGCCTTCCTACATATGTAGGGGCCAAATATTATCATCCTAGGCCTTTCTGATATTCAAAAGAAGTTGTTTAATATTTTCAACATATTTGACAACTACAACCTTGAGTATTTTGAACAAACTTCACAGTCATTTATCCCAGCATGCTTTTGGCCTAATATTACCACCCTGGGACTTTTGGTTATTCAGGAGATGTTGTTTAAAGTTTTAAACAAATTTGACCCGCGACCTTGAATATGGGTATATATAAGATCATTGATTATAATAAACTAGACAGTCTTTCATCCCAGCATGCTACTGGCAAAAATCATAAACTTTTAGGCCTCTTGGTTATTCAGAAGAAATGGTTTTAAAAGGTGTTTTTTTTTATCATGATCGACTTATATTAGTGACCATGAATATGGAAGAAGGTCATTCATCTCAGCATGCTTTATACTTGTCAAGGATTATCACCTTAGGCCTTTTTGGTTATTAAGAAGAAGTCAATAAAAGTAAAAAGTTTATGCAAGATAGAGTCATGGACAGATGGATGATGGACAATAAATTCCACACCACAGCATAAGCTCTGCACTTGGCCATTTCACCCTCAGGTTAGCTAAAATGCTTGAGCCTGACCTTCACTTTGGTCACAGCACCCTGAAATGCATGCTTATACTTAATCATGAGGTTTTTTTTACTATTATCCTTTAGAGATCACTTATATGAATAAGTTTATCAAAATCTGTTGAGAAATTTTTAATTGCTAGAGTAATCACACTGTTTATTTAAAAAAAGGGAAAAAAAAGAAAACGTAACAAAAATCCTTAACTTAGCCTTGAGCAGTCCCAGGTGACCCCTGAACTTGTTTAAGGTTAATTGTTAAAGGTTAATTGCTATACCTAACTCTTTAATGAAGTTTCATCAGAATCTGTTCAGAAATGAAGTCACCATGCAGTGTGATATGATTTTTCGTTCTAAATGTAGTAGTTGCATGGGCTGGCGGTCATGCATCAATTTCTTGAGGGTAATTTACATCCTTGAAATGTGATTATTTTTGAGGTAATTATCATACCTAACAAAGTTCTGTAGAGAAATACAGTCTCTTCGGTTATGGCAAAAGAGTTCTAAGGCATATACTTTACATATGTATACAAATGTAAAGGCAGTCTACCTTAGATGTCCCCTCCACAACCTCCATCCACATCCAAATTGTTGTGAGGGAACAAAGAATTGACAATGACATCAGTGTAACCTTGACCATTGACTTTCAAAGTACATTTTTGAAAGTACATTGTACAATCATTTTAAAGTAACACATAAGTCTTAAATAATGATTTAAAGAATAAAGAATGTCAAATATTACCATACCTAACAAACTTCTGTAGAGAAACACTGAGTGCCTTGAGTTATGACAAAAGAGTTCTAAGACATATATTTTGGGTGCCTCGGTAGCCGGGATCGCTAACGCGCACAGTCATTGTACTACTACTGTGTGCAATCAAGCGTGGGCTTCAGACCACTCGCTCTCCAAAGAATTTCGGTTCGATCCCCAGCGGTGTTGGAAAAAAGAGAGTGATGTCTGATAGGGTTAGTTATTATCCCTTCGATGGCACGGTGGTGCCCCCCCCCCCCCCCCATGTGGGTTTTCCCCCACCACAAAAACACCATTTTTTCCCTTACCGGCACTGTAATAAAAGCTCTACAGAGCTTATGTTTGTTGTTGACAATTGTACACGACGTTAAATACAGATTATTATTACGTCTGAAATTGTATAGTATGTACTTTTTTTTCCAGATTGTAACAGCGTAAGAAAGGCAGGATACAATGACAGTGGAGTTTACATGGTTTGGTATAACTCTACCACACCATATAAGGTAAGTGGAGTTTACATGGTTTGGTATAACTCTACCACACCATATAAGGTAAGTGGAGTTTACATGGTTTGGTATAACTCTACCACACCATATAAGGTAAGTGGAGTTTACATGGTTTGGTATAACTCTACCACACCATATAAGGTAAGTGGAGTTTACATGGTTTGGTATAACTCTACCACACCATATAAGGTAAGTGGAGTTTACATGGTTTGGTATAACTCTACCACACCATATAAGGTAAGTGGAGTTTACATGGTTTGGTATAACTCTACCACACCATATAAGGTAAGTGGAGTTTACATGGTTTGGTATAACTCTACCACACCATATAAGGTAAGTGGAGTTTACATGGTTTGGTATAACTCTACCACACCATATAAGGTAAGTGGAGTTTACATGGTTTGGTATAACTCTACCACACCATATAAGGTAAGTGGAGTTTACATGGTTTGGTATAACTCTACCACACCATATAAGGTAAGTGGAGTTTACATGGTTTGGTATAACTCTACCACACCATATAAGGTAAGTGGAGTTTACATGGTTTGGTATAACTCTACCACACCATATAAGGTAAGTGGAGTTTACATGGTTTGGTATAACTCTACCACACCATATAAGGTAAGTGGAGTTTACATGGTTTGGTATAACTCTACCACACCATATAAGGTAAGTGGAGTTTACATGGTTTGGTATAACTCTACCACACCATATAAGGTAAGTGGAGTTTACATGGTTTGGTATAACTCTACCACACCATATAAGGTAAGTGGAGTTTACATGGTTTGGTATAACTCTACCACACCATATAAGGTAAGTGGAGTTTACATGGTTTGGTATAACTCTACCACACCATATAAGGTAAGTGGAGTTTACATGGTTTGGTATAACTCTACCACACCATATAAGGTAAGTGGAGTTTACATGGTTTGGTATAACTCTACCACACCATATAAGGTAAGTGGAGTTTACATGGTTTGGTATAACTCTACCACACCATATAAGGTAAGTGGAGTTTACATGGTTTGGTATAACTCTACCACACCATATAAGGTAAGTGGAGTTTACATGGTTTGGTATAACTCTACCACACCATATAAGGTAAGTGGAGTTTACATGGTTTGGTATAACTCTACCACACCATATAAGGTAAGTGGAGTTTACATGGTTTGGTATAACTCTACCACACCATATAAGGTAAGTGGAGTTTACATGGTTTGGTATAACTCTACCACACCATATAAGGTAAGTGGAGTTTACATGGTTTGGTATAACTCTACCACACCATATAAGGTAAGTGGAGTTTACATGGTTTGGTATAACTCTACCACACCATATAAGGTAAGTGGAGTTTACATGGTTTGGTATAACTCTACCACACCATATAAGGTAAGTGGAGTTTACATGGTTTGGTATAACTCTACCACACCATATAAGGTAAGTGGAGTTTACATGGTTTGGTATAACTCTACCACACCATATAAGGTAAGTGGAGTTTACATGGTTTGGTATAACTCTACCACACCATATAAGGTAAGTGGAGTTTACATGGTTTGGTATAACTCTACCACACCATATAAGGTAAGTGGAGTTTACATGGTTTGGTATAACTCTACCACACCATATAAGGTAAGTGGAGTTTACATGGTTTGGTATAACTCTACCACACCATATAAGGTAAGTGGAGTTTACATGGTTTGGTATAACTCTACCACACCATATAAGGTAAGTGGAGTTTACATGGTTTGGTATAACTCTACCACACCATATAAGGTAAGTGGAGTTTACATGGTTTGGTATAACTCTACCACACCATATAAGGTAAGTGGAGTTTACATGGTTTGGTATAACTCTACCACACCATATAAGGTAAGTGGAGTTTACATGGTTTGGTATAACTCTACCACACCATATAAGGTAAGTGGAGTTTACATGGTTTGGTATAACTCTACCACACCATATAAGGTAAGTGGAGTTTACATGGTTTGGTATAACTCTACCACACCATATAAGGTAAGTGGAGTTTACATGGTTTGGTATAACTCTACCACACCATATAAGGTAAGTGGAGTTTACATGGTTTGGTATAACTCTACCACACCATATAAGGTAAGTGGAGTTTACATGGTTTGGTATAACTCTACCACACCATATAAGGTAAGTGGAGTTTACATGGTTTGGTATAACTCTACCACACCATATAAGGTAAGTGGAGTTTACATGGTTTGGTATAACTCTACCACACCATATAAGGTAAGTGGAGTTTACATGGTTTGGTATAACTCTACCACACCATATAAGGTAAGTGGAGTTTACATGGTTTGGTATAACTCTACCACACCATATAAGGTAAGTGGAGTTTACATGGTTTGGTATAACTCTACCACACCATATAAGGTAAGTGGAGTTTACATGGTTTGGTATAACTCTACCACACCATATAAGGTAAGTGGAGTTTACATGGTTTGGTATAACTCTACCACACCATATAAGGTAAGTGGAGTTTACATGGTTTGGTATAACTCTACCACACCATATAAGGTAAGTGGAGTTTACATGGTTTGGTATAACTCTACCACACCATATAAGGTAAGTGGAGTTTACATGGTTTGGTATAACTCTACCACACCATATAAGGTAAGTGGAGTTTACATGGTTTGGTATAACTCTACCACACCATATAAGGTAAGTGGAGTTTACATGGTTTGGTATAACTCTACCACACCATATAAGGTAAGTGGAGTTTACATGGTTTGGTATAACTCTACCACACCATATAAGGTAAGTGGAGTTTACATGGTTTGGTATAACTCTACCACACCATATAAGGTAAGTGGAGTTTACATGGTTTGGTATAACTCTACCACACCATATAAGGTAAGTGGAGTTTACATGGTTTGGTATAACTCTACCACACCATATAAGGTAAGTGGAGTTTACATGGTTTGGTATAACTCTACCACACCATATAAGGTAAGTGGAGTTTACATGGTTTGGTATAACTCTACCACACCATATAAGGTAAGTGGAGTTTACATGGTTTGGTATAACTCTACCACACCATATAAGGTAAGTGGAGTTTACATGGTTTGGTATAACTCTACCACACCATATAAGGTAAGTGGAGTTTACATGGTTTGGTATAACTCTACCACACCATATAAGGTAAGTGGAGTTTACATGGTTTGGTATAACTCTACCACACCATATAAGGTAAGTGGAGTTTACATGGTTTGGTATAACTCTACCACACCATATAAGGTAAGTGGAGTTTACATGGTTTGGTATAACTCTACCACACCATATAAGGTAAGTGGAGTTTACATGGTTTGGTATAACTCTACCACACCATATAAGGTAAGTGGAGTTTACATGGTTTGGTATAACTCTACCACACCATATAAGGTAAGTGGAGTTTACATGGTTTGGTATAACTCTACCACACCATATAAGGTAAGTGGAGTTTACATGGTTTGGTATAACTCTACCACACCATATAAGGTAAGTGGAGTTTACATGGTTTGGTATAACTCTACCACACCATATAAGGTAAGTGGAGTTTACATGGTTTGGTATAACTCTACCACACCATATAAGGTAAGTGGAGTTTACATGGTTTGGTATAACTCTACCACACCATATAAGGTAAGTGGAGTTTACATGGTTTGGTATAACTCTACCACACTGTATAAGGTAAGTGGAGTTTACATGGTTTGATATAACTCTACCATACCATATAAGGTAAGTGGACTTTTTACATGGTTTGGTATAACTCTACCACACCCTTTAAGGTAAGTGGAGTTTACATGGTCTGGTATAACTCTACCACACCATATAAGGTAAGTGGAGTTTACATGGTCTGGTATAACTCTACCACACCATATAAGGTAAGTGGTGTTTACATGGTTTGGTATAACTCTACCACACCATATAAGGTAAGTGCCAAATAGGCAGATTTTTTTTGATTTTTTTTTTACAGTTGTGTGAGATGATATTCTTCAAAATGAGGGCAGGTAAACCAGTGTGGATAACCCCATTTAACCAGGACAGTGGTAAACGTTTACACTATTGTCTATGGAAAATCATTTGGTTCTGCGGTCCCTATATATATAGAACCTCCAAACAGAGAAAATTAATATGACAGGGGAAATCCTAGTGTATGAGGGTGACACAATATGCCATCAATAAAATTCATCCAGACATATGCTACTATATAGATAAGCTATAATAACCAATGCAGTTGATGTTGTCTAGTTGTACATTGTCGAATTCACAAAAATTGTGGTCACAAGATCTAATAATTTCAAATAAACATGTGAAAACTGAAAGACTGGTAGTACGTTAGCAGAAACAAAATCGACCAATTCCATATAGCATGGTATTGTATTCAGATTATTTATATATCAGTTCCCCTGGCAATCAGATAGCTGTATAACATGAAAAGTTCTTTGTGCATAAACTTTCGCTGTTTTCGTGGTCGATATATATGGAACCACGAATATAAATACAACGAAATTTTTTACTACTCCAAAGAACGTACACACTGAAAATGTGTAAAATTATATGAATTTTAAGCAATTATAGTTCTCAAATGTACACATTTACGTGGGAAATTTTCAATTCTTGATTCCATCAGAGTGTGTTCCTATTTAGTTTATTTATCGATTTCACATTTTCGTGAGATATTGATGCAGCGATTCACAAACGTATATTTTAAGATAATTGAACAATTCATTTACAATAAAGGAATGTTTTTACTGAAATGGACATGTGTTATCAATCTGTTGTATAAATATCATTTATTATTGATTAATTAAGTATGTGACCAATCAAGTGAAACGGTAGGCTAATATAACGGGCGTCGCAAGAACAGGTCAGTGTTTCCTAAGCATAATGTCAACACTCACATCGCAGTTTAATTTACTTTTCCTTTGTAATAATTATTTTAACTGTTTGACCATGAACAGAGAAGTATGATGAGTGTGACTGTTTGTCATTTTAAAATATACCACTAATGTGTTACAGTGTTGGACCAATGATTCTCGGAATGGTGGATATATTTCGTTGTACGTGGCTAACAATGAAAATTAATACATTTCGCTCTACGGGCTAATTACCACAAAAGTTTGTACCCACGAAATAATTTGAAAGCTCCAAACCACGGAAGAAAGTACAAACGATCATTTCATGTTACATGCTATACAGTAGCATAAGCTGCTCAGGTACACCTACCAGATAAAAAGAACAGATAAAATACTGTGTATTGTTTTATTGTAGGTGGTATGTAACCATACGGCAGACAACTCCTTCACCATCATACAGCGACGGATGTATGGCGACGTGAATTTTAACAGAGGATGGCAGGATTATGTCTATGGATTCGGACATCCCCAGGGTGACTTCTGGGCAGGACTCAATAGCATTTACTACAGTACTCTTACAGGTATAATATAAAGAGTAGGGTCTATCATAACAAAGCAAGGAAAATGGTGTATGACCTCTAACGCAAAATTGACAAACTGTAATTTGAATAAGGTGAGTGAAGGTCATTTAATTATTTAAGTAAACCTAAAATTACTTAATACCAGGAATGTGAGGCTAAATACTATCAGTCTAGGCATTGTGGTTCTTAAGGAGAAGTTGATTAATTTGACATTTCATTTTGAACTTAAAGTATATCTATATTGACAGGAAAGATTAATATTAAAGTCAATAGGGCCAGTAGATGTAGATTTCTTATAAAACTACTGAAATTTTCATAGTTCATGTGCAGAACTCAAAAAATATTATTGATATATATTAAGTGACTGACCATATGAAATTACCAAAATACTGTAAACTGTGAAATTTTAGCTGCATTCTAACTTTCACCTTTTTTCGCCAACTATAATGAGGGCAAAACTATTGTGAAGGCGAATGTTGAAAAACATAGATATACAAAGCAATGAAATATGTGCGAGGTGAAGTTAACACTCGGTGAAGATGTGCTTTATCAGCAAAGGGTGAAATTCCTACTTGGCCAAAGTTTCTCAGTAAACACTTTGCTTAAACAATACAGGAAGAAAAGAAATTTTACAAAAACAATTTCTGTTCTCTCTCAATATTATATTTATCATAAGATCATAGGAAATACTTGTAGACAACTTGATCAATGAATTAAAAGATTCCCATAGACCCTACAGTGTTTTGAATGGTTATTGGCAATGTGTCTACCGTTGAGTTTGAAAATTGTTCTCATCTCATTCCACAGGGCAAATTAAGATGACAGTTTATATGCAGGACTTCCAAGGAATCGGAGGATATATCAAGTATGATTACTTCAAGTTGAATGGTCCTGAAGATCAGTACCGTCTTCTCATTGCCAATGCGTTTGGCAATGTACCGGACGACCTTGGATATAACGACAAGTCCTGTTTTTATACATATGACAGGCCCGACCCTAATAACTGTGCCAGGAATATGATGGCAGGCTGGTGGTATAACTATTGTACCTTAGCTCATCCCAACGGCTACCACTACCCATATGGCCCATATACCCCTTCCACTGGATATTATAATGGCATCTTCTGGAAGGACTGGCTAGGGTTTGGGTACTCTCTGAAATTCATTAGTATGACATTGTCAGATCAATAGTGTTATCTCCCTTTAGTATGACATTGTCAGATCAAACACAATCTACTTTTTGTATGACATTGTCGGACCAATTATAATCTCGTTTTAGTATGACATTTTGTCAGATCAATTGTAATCTCTTTTTCGTTTGACACAGTCAGATCAAAAGTTATCTCCCTTTTGTAAGACATTGTCAGATCAATGGTAATCTCTTTTTTTGTGTGACATTGCCAGATCAATTGTAATCTCTTTTTTTTGTGTGACATTGCCAGATCAATTGTATTCTCCTTTTAGTAAAAAATTGATAAAATAGTCAATGTTGATTTGTCAATAATTATCTCCCTTTAGAATGACATTGTCAGATCAAAAGGAATCCCCTTTAGTATGACACTGTCAGATCAACAGTTTTCTCTTTTTAGTATAACATTGACAAATCAACAGTAATCTCCATTTTGTATGACATTATCAGATCGACAGTCATCTCTTTTTAGTGACAAATCAACAGTAATCTCCATTTTGTATGACACTGTCAGATCAACAGTTATCTCTTTTTAGTGACAAATCAACAGTAATCTCCATTTTGTATGACATAATCAGATCAAAAGTAATCCCCTTTTGTATGAAATTGTCAGACCAAAAGTAATCTTCCTTTAGTATGACACTGTCAGAACATTGACAAATCAACAGTAATCTCAATTTTGTATGACATTGTCAGACCAATAGTAATCTCCCTTTAGTATGACACTGTCAGACCAACATTGATTTCCCTTTTGTTTGATATTGTCACATTAGCCATTATCTCACTTTTGTATGACGTTGTAAGATCAATGGTTATCTCTCTTCATTATGGCCTGGCCAGGTCAATATTAATATCCTTTTAATATTACGACAAATCAGCAGTAACTTCCCTTTTAATAGTATGACACTGTCAAATCAGTAATTATCTNTAGGGGGGAAGGGGATGGGGGTAGAATCTTTAAGAGAGTACTCCTTAATTTACATGAATGTACTTGTGTTAGGTATTCAATGTTAAAGAATTTGAAGAATTCACCCCCTTAACTCCCTTAAGGGTAGGCGTATGAGGACCAAAATATCGACACAGAGGCAGAAGCATTTTTGACTTCTTTGATTTATATAAATCTTGTCCAAAATTTGAACACGCATTAAGCAAACTTTGTGTAAATGGTCTTATTCATTGTTTTGTTTTCCAGCTTATTTTAAGTAAATACAAGATGGCTGATTTGGCCCCCTGAGTGGGAGAGAAATGTTTTTTTACAGAAAAATGGTAGGATCAGGGGAAGGGACAGAAAAAGTTCTTAAAACACTTCAAAACCCTTGTAATTACCGCAGTATAAGAAACTTGAATTACATGTCAAAAGGTGTAAAAAAACGGTGAATAGATCATCACATATTATAAACAACTATTGTTGATGATATAATACCATACACCGCAAATTTTAAATATTAAGGATCCCTGTCCCACCGCAGACATGCAAAACACAAAGAATTCTACTACATTTTTCGTAAATACAGTAACATCACCAATAATTTCCCTGTGGATAAAACTGTAGTGATTGGACAAGAGTACTACCATTGACAAAGTGGTTGAGTTGGTAAGAGTGAGAGTGGTTATTGGTCACAAGTGTAGGGTTCAAATCCTAGTTTTGCTACGGTATTTTTTACGCTCAGAACACCTGTTGATTCTTTTGAGCTAATTTCATCTTTATCATTCTTTTCGTAACAGTTCTAAAACAAATGGATTTCTTTTCGGAAATGATTTATCAAAGCTATTGTCAGGCTGGAAAGAAACTTTTCAATACATTGTTACAGATTTTGGCAGTGGTATAAGGATATTTAATTATATTTGGCTCATTATCAAATTGATAATTGACTTGTGCATGTACATTATTTTTATAAATGCTTCCCTTTTTTCCCGAATACTGCTTGTATTAATATGAATTGAATAATTAAGATTTTTATCATGCCTATCTTTTTTCAGAACACTGCTTGTTTTCATATAAATTGAAACATCAATATTTTTAACATGCCTACCTTTTTTTTCAGAAAACTGCTTGTATCAATATGAATTGAATCATTTATGTTATATGTATAATTACTGTAAAAGAGCTTGAGGTGATCAGGAAAGGGAAGTATTTCAGATAAATTATCTCCCCTTAGATAATATTTGTTGATTTGTGTGCCACACTAATAATTAGATTGGCCTCTTTTGCGTATTTACTGTTTTAACTAGCGCAACCTGAAAAGAAAACAACAGGCTCAGATCTGAACAAAGGCTAACCTTGAAATTTTGGCTCTGCTTCTAAGTTCAATCCAAGTCAGTTTGTGAAACGTAGAATATTTCTGCATCACTTGAACAGTTTCAACCGATATACGGAAAAACGGCCATTGTATTCAAACAACACTGTTCTTGAGTTGTTTTCCCAAAAGTTTGGAAATAAAAGATACACTTCTATCATCATTGTGTCATTATTGTTGATTAATTGAAAAAAAAACCCAAAAATGTTTGAAATAAAGTTTAAATTTATCTGGCACCGAGTTGTGTCTTTAAAGTTATCACAGTAGAGTGCATACAACAGAACCCGCCTACCTGATGGTGTAATGTTTCCACTTTGATGCCCATCCTGACCCAGGTGGCGGCGTTGTGCGTGGTTTGTGTCATCATGCTGCAAACAGGTACAGTTCTTATAATTAAAGGGACAATTTAGTGAAGTTATTTTTTCAATTAAAGGGACAATTTAGTGAAGTTAGTTTTTAATTAAAGGGACAATTTAGTGAAGTTAGTTTTTTAATTAAAGGGACAATTTAGTGAAGTTATTTTTTCAATTAAAGGGACAATTAATGAAGTTAGTTTTTTAATTAAAGGGACAATTTAGTGAAGTTAGTTTTTTAATTAAAGGGACAATTTAGTGACGTTAGTTTTTCAATTAAAGGGACAATTTAGTGAAGTTAGTTTTTTAATTAAAGGGACAATTTAGTGAAGTTAGTCTTTTAATTAAAGGGACAATTTAGTGAAGTTAGTTTTTCAATTAAAGGGACAATTTAGTGAAGTTAGTTTTTCAATTAAAGGGACAATTTAGTGAAGTTAGTTTTTCAATTAAAGGGACAATTTAGTGAAGTTAGTATTTCAATTAAAGGGACAATTTAGTGAAGTTAGTTTTTTGATTAACGGGACAATTTAGTGAAGTAAGTTTTTTAATTTAAGGGACAACTTACTTAGAGCAGTTAGTCTTTTAATTTGATCTTGCCACAAGTTCTATCATTATATTATAGTTAAATACTCCTTATACACAATTGGTGTCGAGAAATTAACAAAGAGTTGAGGGTTTCTTGGGGTTCTTAATCAATAATAAAGAAATCCTTAATGGTATTATAGTCGTACAATTTAGCGGTTACGTACTGTCAGTGAACATCTGACCAACTTAGCATGTGCAAACGTCTTTCACTTCTGTAAACAAAAATGTCTTTTCAGTCACGATGTGAAGGTAAATTTACGCTCTAGTCACCATACTTCTTTGGAAGATATATGTACAGGCATTTATTCTGAATCAATAGCACCTAAATAATTTCAGGCAATCAGTAATCCTTTTTTTAACATTTCCTCACCTTGTTTTGTATTGCACACTACTATATGTATATATGTTTATTATGACTTTAACTTGAACACTGACAAGTCAGTAAGGGCCCTGTCATGTCCAATGAAACCATTGATAGACGTGTACCCCCATGGCAAGCCTGACTTTCCTCCGGCCCTGACACCAGACTTCGACATTTTGACAGATAGATGTCTGGTGTGGGGCTATGACATACAAAAATGGTGTTTGCTCAAGTGAGAAATTTTAAACGGTTGAAAACGAAGGACTCTACTGACGGAATTTAGCCATTGTTGGTGATAATAAGAGCGGATTTGGATCAATAAATAATTCATTTATTAATAGATGTGAGGTATGTGTTGTGTCATAGTAGCACCTCATAACTCTTCGATACCAAACGGTGTCGGAGAATTCCATGTTTTCATAAAGTAGTGCACTCTGGCCCCATACCAGACATCTATCTGTCAAAATGTCTAAGTTTGGTGTCAGGGCCAGAGGAAGCTCAGGTTACCCCATGACCTATGTTCAGTAACAGGAACACTCAGAAATATCTCATTGTATATCACCATCATGTCATATTTTAAAATAACTCATATTTTTGGAATCCGAGAAAAATCTTCGGAAAAGAAAGTGTGGACAGACACCATGACTACTATATTGGGCACCTGCCATTGGTCCCTGATAAATAGAAAGAGTCTAATATTGAACTGTTTTTACCATACACTCACCTGGTGTGGGTTATGTAGCTCGCCAGTACGTATCAGAATCTCGTCCTTGCCCATGTGCACATTTGCGCCACGCCCCTTTAACTTGAACAAGAACATGTCCCTGTGTGGGTCGTCGGTGAGGAGAGTCAGATCAGAAGACATCTCGTACCAATCGGTGTCAAACTTCCAGATTACCCCCCCTGTTTTACCACTCAGAATCACAGCCTGTCAGTTAAGAAAGAAAATGATCACATTTTCCCTGATTGAAAACCCAATGTTCTTTGTTACACTGTTGACATGGACATTTTTGCTGCAGTTTTGACATTCACCTTTTTAACTCATTCACCCCTGAAATTTCATAATGAACTATTCCAACCTTTGATCTGGAAGAGTTCAAATGTGTCTTCAGGGGTGAATGAGTTAACATTCCATAACAAGGGCAAAGTTATCCTGACAACAAATAATAATCCACAACATATTATATATAGTCATTACATATAAACGACAAAATTTATCAATGGCAAATATAGATTTTATCAGAGAAAGACAAAAGTTTAACTTGGCGGACATTTCCCTGTATACAGTATTTTCTGTACAAGAATGAAGTACGGTTAACCCGCCAGAGAGCACAAATACAGCTTTAAAGACTGGAATAACCACCAAATCTAGCACAAACTGAATTTTTGTATATTTTCAACAGAATAGTTCAGATACATGTGATAGCTTCAGGACACATAGTAGAGTAATAGAAAATCTCACCCTCTAGGGTTCAGATTCCCCTATCTCACCCTCAAGGGGGTGAATGATTCGTTTTCTCTTACCCTGTTCACCTATTGCATATCATATACAAAATGTTATTTTGACGTCGATGGATTGTTGACGTGATGTTGTAGTATTGTTGAAGTGACGTCATACCATTGTTATGAATGGGGGTATCATGCCTTCTCTTTTCTAGGGTGAGACAAGGAAATCTCACACCGGTAAAAGTGCGGACACACCTGTGTAGGGCAAGAGAAAAAGATATCTCACACCGGTAAAAGTGTGGATACACCTGTGTAGGGTAACAGAAAGATTACTCTCCAACTGGAAAGGAGATTGAGGTTTTGGTAGGCATATTATCATCAAGTGTATTCTTTTTACCAGAACCATTGCAAACTTACCTGAGATTTGTTATATACAGGCCACTGACCAAGACTCCAGTGGGTCATAAAGTCCAGAGTTCCATCATCATCAAAATGGCCAGGAGCAGGTGTACTGATAAAACAAAGGAAATTGTCGCTAACTAAATTTACTAAAATGATATAAAGGAGACAACATTTAGACATTCAGGCTCAAGTAGGTACATCCTGGTCAGTAAGTGTTAAAGACAATTTCTTAAGCAACATGCTTAACTGACCATTTCATACAGTATCATACTCTGAACTGACCTTTCCCTATCATACACTAAACTGACCATTTTCTAATCACACTGACAAACTGACCATTCTCTATGACATTGAAATGACCATTACATATTACACACTAAACTGACCATTTCCTAATCACACAGCAGACTGACCATTCTCTATGACATTGAAATGACCATTCACTATTACACACTAAACTGACCATTTTCTAACACACACTAAACTGACCATTTCCTACCACACACTTAACTGACCATTTCCTATTACACACTAAACTGACCATTTCCCATCAGACTCATCTGACCATTCCTTGTCACAACCTTTAAACTGACCATTTCTCTTGTCACACCCTACATTGACCATGGTTTGCTCTATCACACACTGAACTGACAGTCCTTCGCTACCACAAATCTCCCTGTCCCCTTCATACCCCCTCCCGATCACCTTACACAAATATAACCACTCACCTGTAAGACTCCTGTCCTGGGAAGTCAACTGACCACATGATGCTCAAATCCTTGCCGTTGTAGAGTATATTTTTGCCATCATAAATTGAGGCCATGATGTCCAACACTCCATCATCATCCACATCCACGATGACAGGGGGTACCATAACTCCCTTTGTTGTCCCCCTAGTTTGTTAGGTAAACAAATAATAAATATTGTATAGGGGACAGTTTACACACAAAATGAAATGCACACTAAATGAAAAATTGATGTTTTTAGTATAGATTATACTAGGGTTACTGATGCAACAAAAAAACATCATGAAACATATTCTACATGCATGATATTTGTCAGCTGAAGAAAACAGGAAGAATCCACAGTACCCTGCTTCCAGAAATCATTGGTATCAAAAAACTAACAAAGGGCCATAACTCTGTTAAGATTATACTAAAGGAAGAATAGTGCAAATTATTACATCATCGCTACTTCCTGACTAACTGAAGTATCGAAAATCAACAAAAGATGAGGACTCTGTATGTAGGGGATGAGCTGGTTTATATATACATGTAAAACACTTGAAATGGCATCACTAGAGGTACTCGCATACAAAATCTGGCAGTTGTAAGAAACCCAAAAATACAAGAAATGCCTCAGACAATGTAATTCACAGTGAGCAAAGGGCCACAACTCTGTATATAGCAGGGCACGAGACCTGATTTCAGTACACAACACTTTGGCACCCAAAAATTACTAAAATGCAAACTTTTGCAAAAAGTGTAGGTGCGAGAATTTATCAGGTATGCCCCAGACAAAGTTGCCATATTGCCAAAGTAGTCCTTTGATAGACATCCTCAAAATTCCATGGGTTACACTCTTTTATGTACTCTGAACCTTGAATTATGTCATGTCTCTGGATGCACCGCCTTGTGGATGATACAAGTACATCAGTTTGATCCTTTGATGTACATCAAAAGAATTGCCTGTCAGCGTAATGGTGAAATTGACCAGCTTTGAAATTGGGTGTCACTTCTCTGTAATCTTTAAAGGACAAGTATCAACCTAACAATTTTTTTTTATTTTTTTTTATCTTGAAACCAATCAAATACTAATACCATGAGCCTTTGATTTTGTCCCAACATATTTCAGGGGTGCTGACCGTGCAGAGAATGTAAGTGAGCGTAATTCCTCTGGAATTTCAAAGATGATATACAGAGTGTAATATTGTCTGTGATGTGTCAACTGTGTAAACGTTGTCAGTGTAATACATGTACTTACTTGTAGAGGGTAATGATGCCTGTTGTTGGGTCCCGTGTCTCCTCTAGCCACTGGTCATATCGGCCCTGAACACCTGGGACATCACCATCCATCTCCATTACATAGCGATAGAAATCCGGTAGGGATATCATCATTAAGTCACCTGTAATAACAAAACAAAAAAACCCCAGATTTAATCAAGGTTTTACTACTCCAGGTCCATATAATACAGACAAAACTATTAGCTAATCTCTGGGAACTTTCCTTAAAATAGATTTTCTCTTGCTATCACATAGGTATACAGATTGATTAAATCTTGCCCTACCTTGTGGGTGTGACAGGGAAATCTCCAAACCAAGGGGCGATTTTTTTTTAATTGTTCAACTCTAAGCTCTGACGAGGGTCAGACAACCAAATAATAACCCCCAAGTTTGAGATTTCTCTGTCACACCATCAAGAAAGGGGATGATTAATTTTCTCTCATCCTGTTATTTCAAACTTCACCCAAGGTAGTCTGGCATGTTTTAAATATATGCAATTGAGCTCTCCCATCGAAAGCTGGTTGTGACTTTAACATTATTGATGCCTTGGTGACATCTTATTTCTGCAAGTCAGGGGTGACATGAAAACCACATCCTAAAGAATGACAGAGAAAACTTGAACAGTAATACATGTTGCTCTTACCCGTCACAGTTTCCCCGCCACTTCCAAACAGTATGTACTGGGACCCATCCACACACGTGTACATAACGGGACTAAAGTATGTTTCCCTACTGTCAGGCATCGCCAGGTAACGACTACCCATCGTCTGTCCTGTCGCTCCCGACAAGATCAACAGACGTCCTGCTGCACGGTCGTGATCCTGTAAAACAGTGTTTGCATAGTTAAGGGGAGGCCACTTTCCATGATACCATGACAGCAAAATCGAGGCATGTGTGGCATTTTACAAACATTTGTTAAAATTTGTGTTTTCAGGATAACAGAAATAAGTACAACAATTCATAATCATGAAATGGAAGAAATTCAAACATTATGATTTTCATTATTATCTGTAGTTTGATCATGATTTAAATCATGTTTGGGTTTAGTACAAAAAGGTCCTTACAGCCACAAAAAGGAAAATTCAACAGAACTAGAAAATGTCTATATGACATGGCTGTCACCAATGTTATGTAATTTATAGTGTGGATATACGGCGCATGTTACTTTCAGAGAATTCCAACCACATATGAAAGTCTAGGTCATGATCAAAGGCAAGATTTTTCTACCGATAGTAACGATAACCTTGACATTTGGAGCAAAATGCTTGGTACACAACATCTGTATGACATCTCAAGGCAATTTGACCTTGACCTTAGATTGAAAAAGCTGAAAAATGAACTTATTTTAACTTCCATATATTACATGTAATTTCTGTATAAAGTTTCATAGAATCTTATCACAAATGACAGATCTAGATCTATGATGATACTGCATGATTTTTTTTTTGTATTTTACAGTAATTGTGATTTTAAGCTTTGAAAAAACGCCTGAAACACAAACTTTTTAAAGCAAATTTAGTGCTTAACCTATTTATTTTTTTATGAAAACCCAACTATAAATGAAAACTCTTGAGAGATGACTTCAGCTAGTGCACAATAGAAAGATGGACAAGGGCAGCACAAATCCATCACCATTTTAAATGCAATAGTGTAAAAAATTAATGATGTGTCATGACTTTGTGCAGTTAGAAATTCAGTTTTTGGGGGTATTGTTACTTTTTCTTATTTTCTTTTACTAACTAGAGACCAGGTTTTTACTTAACAAGAAGAAGTTGTTCAAAGAAAAATATTGACTGATGAAAAAAACAGATACTACACAGTAACATAAGCTACATATTTATTAACAGGTATTTCCAGTCAAGTTAGCTAAATCCTGAAAAAAAACAGATTTGTGAAAAATGTGGATCAACAAACTACATTTTTGAGAGACAACCTGAACATTTTCTTGTGAAATACAAACCTCTGCATCCTTGCTGGGGTCTCCCCCATTAGGCACCAAGACCTCCGAAACACCGTCCCCATCAAAGTCCGGCAGAGCTAGCACCTGGAACGTGTTCCACATTGGGGACATCAGAGTTTTGTCACCAACCCATAATGTCTTACCTGTAGGACAAACAACATATTATGTTATCAAACATGGGCATCCATTAAATGAATTCATTTTTTAACAACAAAAAGTCAATTTGTACCTTGTAAAATCTTATCATTGAGGCTGCATGCATATTACCCAGCAAAGACAGCCCAAGGGATGTTATCTTAAATTCGGTTTTACTGTATCTATCGTACAATAAAGTCTAAAGGGCCAACAGATATTTCATAAACTCTAACTCCAAATAGGGGATGGGCTTATAATAGTTCTAATAAAATAGTTTGAAGTTAGGTATAGTTTTGGAAACGAAATGGATGTAAATTCTCGATTATTTTTTTTAAGACACAAAACACTTTTTCGGTAAAGTCTTAATATGACAGGTATAGTTAATGGTCTGTCTTGTCTGGTGGTTGTTATAGTCAGGTGGTCATTAGAGCCAGGGGGTTTAGATATCTGTAAGGCAGGTTTCTGTGAATATGTACACATCTGGTTAATGTGGCTAATGTATGTAGGTACTGACCTGTCTTTGTACTGACGGCCTGGACACCTGCAGGGCGACCACACAAAATACAGTCTTTGTAACCGTCTTTGTCTACATCAAAGTCGGCACAGTTGATGAGTGTTATGGACGAATACACTTTTTCTCTCCATAGAACTTTTCCGTCATAGCCTCGTAGAGCATACAGATGGCCAACACAGGGATACTCCTCTCCTACAAGAAAATATGTTCTTTATCGGAATACATGTATGCTTTCTTTTTTTGGCATGTACATGTATCTCCTTTTTAAAGAGTTCCACACCATGAAACCTAAATATCCCAGAAGAATCGCTGTACCAAAACTGTAAATATGTATGTGGAAACTTATTTTCTGTCAAGACTATAACTTCAATTAAACATTTCTAAATAGAAAACCATACCTTGTGATACTTTTAAGAAAAAGTATAAAAGATGAATGTACAAAAAGAATAAAACGCAGTGTTCTGGGTATATACATTAAATGCAACAAGGCAAGACAGGGATTTGAACCCTGGACCTCTGATCTTATACAGTCATTCTAACCAACTGAGCTAGCTGGTCAATGGTATTGGCCAACTTCAAGTGGCACATCAGGTTTATATCCAAAATGCAATTAACCGTTTCACCCCTATGTAACTTTGGTAGACTCTACCATGCATTAATCTGGATGAGTCCATTATGGTCTACAGTGGTGAAAGGGTTAAGAGGAGGGTACTTTATGTACAAATAAACTGCGAAGTAAATTCTCTAGCTTTTTGTCTGCAGTGGGACAGGGATCCTCAAAAAAAACAAAAACAATTTGGTTAAAATTGCATTCATGAGACAAGCAAAATCATGTTTAGATAAGCAGCACATGTGTAATAGGACGAGGAAAAGTGATAAAGATAGTGCTGGTGCCTGGGCTCGAACCCACGACCCATGGCTATCCAGCCCGATGCTCTACCGCTGAGCTGAAAGGAAATTCCCTACAGCTGTCGCTTGTAAGGCAACCTAATTAACCCACATCTTTTACACTATTCCCCCCTTTTTTTCAAATATCAACCCAGGTTCTTTGACTCCCCGCCAAGGGTCTCCTCCCTTGAACGGGGAGGGTCAACGGCACCAGTTTGTAATAGGACGAGGAAAAGTGATAAAGATAGTGCCGGCGCCTGGGCTCGAACCCGCGACCCATGGCTATCCAGCCCGATGCTCTACCGCTGAGCTGAAAGGAAATTCCCCACAGCTGACGCTTGTAAGGCAACCTAATTAACCCACATCTTTTACACATGTACCATTTCATCCCTTGTACACTGTTTATATACATGTGGGGTGGGGGTTGACTTAATCACATGATAAACTAACGCATTACCAATAAGAAGGTTTTTGAAGGGTTATAGTTGGTCTACTAGTTTCCCCTCTATCGCTGAGGCTTCTTCAGGCCCAAAAGATGTGATTGAAGACCGATAGAGACGAAACTAGTGGACCAAATAAAACCCTTCAAAACCCCTCCTAGTGGTAACGCTTGAGTACGTTGTGATTAAGCTCCCCTACAAATTCTTAATTCCTCTTTAATCGCCCGGCATATCTCTCGGTATCCATACTCACAGCGAAGTAGTACCCACGTTACCAACCCAGATACCTTTACCTGCAGATGTTGGCTCTACATACACCTTTGAAGTTTGATAGACTATTTATATAAACATATACACAAAGGCTTGGCTATAGCATGTATACACACACATACATATGTAGTATAAACACACGAATTTCCTACAACCACTGTATTTTAATGTACAAAGTCTTAAACAACCTGGCTCCAGATTACTTGAACAATTTTACTTTGACATACGGTATCCATTCAAGAACTACCAGATCATCAACACAGAATGTATTTTATATGCCATCTTTAAAAACAAATGTTTTTAAAAGGTATTTTACATATCAAGGTCCATATATATGGAATAGTTCACCATCATATGAACAGAATTGCAAAAGTCTATTATCTTTTAAGAAATGTGCCAAAAAGTATTTTATGGGTTCAAAAACATGTATGCTCATCATTTTTGTAATTTGTATAATTTAGTCTTTATGTAACTGTTGTACAGTTAAAATGTAACCTGGGCTGACCATGCTGGTAGGGCTCTCCCCCATCGCTGGAAAGCTCGGGTCATTGTTTCATTTAGAGCTGTTTCTGTGATAATTGTGGATTTAAAATGTACATGTAAAATTATCTTACCAATTAACTATTCATAGTACTATTTTATCATTGTTGTATATAATGTTTTTTATTTTTTAATATGCTTGACGATATGGGAGACGAGTCTTTGACTCAATATGTAATCAAGTTTAAATAAAGACTATTATTATTACAAACATCAGTACCTTTTTCTAAGCAAAGGTTCCTCATTTGTGTTTCATTTCCGTCTAACCTCATCAAGGCTAAAGCGATTTCTGATGAAACTGTGGCGAATATCACATCATCTAGTCCGTCTCCATCAACATCTAAAAGCCGCACATTGGACTCGGACATCGAATCCACTGTAATAAAAATGTTTACCACATTACACTGCAGATTTTCAAAACTCAAAAAAGCATACAACTAAAATATTCAAAATTAAAAAGTTCATAATAAAATCAGGTAGATTGGTGTAAGTTCTGGCATCTTATTATAATTATCGCACAATAATTAGCCATAATATATATATATGAGATCATACACAAAACATCATCCTCGATACTCCAGGGATTACTCTCACTTTCGCTCTCTGCACCCCTGGAAATTGGAATATGTCAAAAGAAAATTGAACGCACGTAGCTAGCTATTTTTATTTTCATTGGTCTAAGAAAAAAATACCCTGACCAATCAGAAGGCTGAAATATCATCCACAGGGTGACACACTAAGCCTTCAATTTTGCTATGACCTATTCCAGGGATGCAGAGTCTGACAGCGAAGAGTACTGAGGATGACAATATTCCATCTTTGCGTATTGCAGAGTTATCTTCTCTTGAGAGCAGGTATTGATTGTTACGTCATTGGTCTGTGTGAGAAATTTACGTCGTTTTCTCAAAAATTGATGACGTTATTTTCACAAACAAATGACATAACAATCAATGCCTGCTCTCAAGAGAAGATAACTCTGCAATAAGCAAAGACGGAATATATATCATGGGTGTACTTACTGAATAACACAGTAATCAAGTGATAAAATATATTATTTAATCAGGGTTTAATGTCCCCAGGCACCTATCATATGAAGATGGGTGCCAATAGGGAGACACTGCCAGGGGAGAGAGCAGACAGGAAAGAAAGAAGAGTAGAAAAGAAAGATAGGAAAGGAAAAATATCCCAAATGACACAATGTAGGCAACAGACCAATTTTGGTTTGGTCAATGTCCTGTTAGTAAATTAAAACGCATAGAATAAAACCCAAATCAGTTGCCACCATGCATCATCCAAAAAAATGTATTATGTAAGTACAAATTTTCTTTGAATGTGATATCAACATCCACACTTACATGACATCTTATACTTACATAATTTATCAAAAGTTTTACTCCAATTTTCGGTTGGTTTCTTATTCTTGATCTGATTGCCATTCTTAGTCTTATGTCCTGATGTGACCGTGTGATCATTATTTCCAAGTTTTCCTGATGTGACTGTCTGATTGCTATTTCCAAGTTGTCCTGATGTGGCCTGCTGGCTATCATGAGATGAATGTGAATGAATCGCTGCAAAGATCCCCAAAGAAACAAAAATAACCAGAAGGACAGTTACAGCAACAGAGATAATCTGACACCTCGTAAGAAATCTCTTCTTCTTGTGTTTGCGATGCTGTGGTGAGGATGGTTTCATGCCATTATTTGGAGGTAGCAGTTTCAGTTCTAAATCGCCATAATGGGCATATCCTTTAACGAAAATATCTTCATCTGATTCATCACTTAGTATCAGAGGCACACGGGTGTACTCCATCAATGTTGGTCTCTGGGGTCCTAAAATTATACAGAAAACATTAGTTATTATATTATCATCAATAAACATGGATATGTGTGTTACAAGAAAAAAATACAAATTTACAAGGAATTAGGGCTGTGTGTACAGTTGAAAGTAAATACACGACAAGACCTCCGCATTAAAGCCATATTGGTCTCTGTGGAGTATTTAAACATATACAGTAGAAGAACAGGCTTTAAACAAGGGACCCTCCAAAATCCATACGGACACTTCTTATTAAGCTACCTGGTCTTCAGTGATCGATCCAGTCCAGTTCTGCTACATACATAAATGTTATAGATAAACGCATATATAATCGAACGTGGGTTTTCGACGATGTGCTACACTGTGTAAATTGCTACACAAGCAAGAGACTCAATGGCCTTGAACTACTTACCTATAGTTAGCTATTTTAAAATTAAAATCAAGTTGACATTTATACAGTATATTTAGGAAGAAAGACACAAGGAGCACAGGCCCCTTTATTTCCCTAATATCCCCCCCCCCCCCCCTCCCTGGGCAAAGGATGATAGGTACACTAAACTTTCCTTAAAACCTGCTCAGTATTTATGAGAAGAGATGCCAACCCTACTGGGAAAAGTACAAAGTGAAAAGTACTCAGATATCTGGTTCAGGGCAAATGTAGTTAGAAGTATGTGAGCTACATCCAGAAGTAAGTTGTCACTAATAAATAATCAGTTTTGGCGAACATAAAAAATACATTAATATGCATGTTGGTCTCCTTAATTTGGGGATAACTTTTGACATAATTTGCATTCTTATTTTTGACTTAAGATATCTGCAGATTTTCCAAAATTTTAATTTTTGCTAAAATTACATTAATTCAATACAGAATATCTTAAACTCTGGCATTTTACAGTATTTGTAGTGCCTTGAACCCCTGTAAAAAGTTTGAAAGGTTGGGCTCTAATCTCCAGACAGGAGCTTACGTAATGGAGACAGGTATCATTCACAGGTGCTGGCACCTTAATATGATGTATATATATAGTGTATACAGACATCATATATTAGTGTGTCCTATATATCAGGTCCAGTACACTCTGCCGATTGAGCTATATAGCTATAAAGACCTATATAGCTATATTCACCTATAAATTATAGCTGTATTGAGCTATATTTTCTGAGATTTCAATCTTCATTAAATTAAAGCAAAGTCACATAAAACAATAAGGTTTATGGTAATGTTCACTGCAAAAAGCATACGATTAGATGTATATTTTAATTTTTCATAAATGTAAAATTTCCGATTTTTTTACATCATTTTTTTTTTTAAAGAATACTTATTTTTCATGTCTTTTGTTATCAACCTAATGATATAATCTTCTTTTAAATGTGACTGTGTTTCGTTTTCCTTAAACAAAAAAATCACTTGAAAATAGCTCAAAAGACCTATTTCAGATAGGTCAATAGAGCTATTATAGGTCTTTACAGCTATATAGCTCAATCGGCAGAGTGTACTGGACCTGTATATGCCAGGCTGTGGTATCACTGACGTTTAAAGCGCGGATAGTACGTGACAAACTTCATGACAGCCAAAGCTCAAACTCTGGTAGTGTCATATAATTGCAGTAAAGTTAGGCATTCACAAGAGGCTCGGGCACTGCAATTGCCACGCGAATGTAAACATTGTAATATTACCCATCCGTAAACCTCAGACACAAAATATCGAGGATATTGTAGACTTTCACAGCATGATAACGCAAAACATACGTTTCCTTTTAACTATAAACGAAAATCAACATGACTTGAACTTTTTCTTTAGTATAGTCACTGATGTCCGAGAGAATGACCATTGATTCATGTGTTGTGTTTTTACCTGTACTGTTCCCGTTTAGCGGCTTGTTTATGGCGGAAGTGTCAAATAACAACTTCCGGTAGGTTGCACACTTTAAGGGCGCGTTCGGTTCGGTTTGTTTCAATTCATCACTCCGGTCCAATAAATATAAATATGTATAACATATTACAAAAGCTAATGTGCTGATGTGATACATGTATTTTTTGTTTTCTTCACCTAACTCGCTTAATCACCGTAATAAATGTAGGTCTGTGGAAAGGTGTTCGATGCTTTACTGTTAGCAATACCAGGCGCACAGGGACATGAGCATTTCATTGGTGGTGGCCTTTTTATCGAAAATAAATCTTAACCCCCTAAACGTGTTAAGTAACTCTAAACATCTTAGTTTATGTCCATAGCTGTAACAAGTTCTTGTCCCTTTGAGCACAACGATGGATAAATCATATTCAAAAACTGATGTTTTCTTTGACAAATTTTGAACCATATAGTATCAATATGACACAATATACCCAAAAATCAATTATTATTCCATAAACATGCTTTATGCCAACCACAATATGATACACCATGTAGCATTTTCATGTAGAAAAACAGACTGTGCATATCATAAGACGAACGCATCACAACTGTTCCGGATTGGATGTAATTATATCCTTCTGTTTCCTGTGTCTGAAATCTGTCTACACGTAGGACCTCATACAATGATCTGGTGTCTTATTCCGGGTAGATTGCAATCATCGACGACGAAAACGCTGTACCCAGAAACAAGTCTCGAATCGCACTTTCGCTGATCATGATTGTCTTATATGATAATGACCGAGAAAAAGAAGAAGACTATGTATATCCTTTCTCTACTGGTGCCTATACTGTGCGGATTGCTCGGTATTCACGACCATCTGTCGACTCCCGGAAAGAGGAAACTATGAAGATAGTAGCTGTTTGCTGACTCTTGGAGAGAGTTGTGATCTTGTTTTCATTAGAGCGGAGAAATCCGGGGGTTGCTGCAGAGATACTAGGCCCTATATACGATCACTCCCAAGATGCGCCTCGAGGTGCAGAACACGACATCAGGCCAGCACCCGGATGTGGATTGTGGCGAATGCTTTGTTTGTTTGTTTGTTTGATTTTGTTTAACGTCATATTAACAGCTAAGGTCATTTAAGGACGGCCTCCCCTGTGTGCAAGATGCATGCGTGTAGTGTATGTGTGTGTATTTTGGGAGGCTGCGATATGTTCGTGTTTGTCCCCTTGTGATAGCGCGGAACTGATGCCGACTTTATAGTGCTACCTCACTGAAACATACTGCCGAAGACACCCAGCAGGACGCCCCACCCGGTCACATTATACTGACAACGGGCGAACCAGTCGTCCCACTCCTAATTTGCTGAGCGTTAAGCAGGAGTAGAAACTACCATTTTTAAAGACTTTGGTATGTCTCGGCCAGGGGACAGAACCCAAAGCCTTCCTCACAGGGGCGAACGCTCAACAAATGGCCAAAAGTGAGGCATTGTCAAGGGAGACATTAGGAAGAAGAAAGTTATTTAGAAAGGAGAGAAGAGATAAGGTCCCAAATTTAGTCGCCTCTTACGATCATGCAATTGGGGGCAGCAGGTACAATTCTTACGCCCTACCTGCAGGGTCAGTGGCGAATGCACAGTTTCAGTCAAATCATTATCAGCAGCAATGATATTGACCATACAATCTGTGAAAAGATATACCACATGGCATCTGGCATAATGCAAACACCAACGAAAGCAGTTATGGACGACATGACAGTGGCAACCAAGACAGTGGTGAAAGCAAGATATATCTTGCAGTATTTGGAAACCGTCCAGTCACAAGCATGAATGAAGTTCAAGTCAACTAAATCGGGGTTCCTGTTTTTAAGAAAGAAAGGAAAGATAAAAAGTTCAAGACTGGTGACAATTCCAATGGTCTCGGATGTTTATGTATGTGTTACGATGAACTTCTAGTACGATATACATATACACGATAGCACAATTAAGACATGTATCTACTAATACGACGTTTGACCTAGCTAGTGTATGCTCATCTGGGCGAACACTGCTGGTGTATGACGCATCAATGACAGCAGTAGGGTTATAGAGCAGATAGTGAGCAGACATCTATAAAAGTGGATGGGAGTATATTGTTTGCTTGGAGTCAGTGACCTCACGACAGCTGAGATGAAAAAGGTTTCCTAGGGAGACACAGACGAAAAGAAAGAGTAGGAGAAGAAAGCAAAGAAACGATATAGATTCCAAGTGCTGCAATAGGGGAAGTAGGTCAGATTTGGTTTGCGATAACACGGGCGGAAACCCATATATAACAGGGGGACTCACTGTCGTCATCTCTTACGGTAACATGTAGTGAGATGGAGTGGGCCAATTCTATCCCCGAACGTGCATGGGTATGAATGCGAATTTCAAAAGCAATGGCCTCTACGATGAATGGACAAAGGTGAAGCTACACTTGGAATCATTGCTTTATAAATTCAGGGTTATCAAATTCAGTTTCGCGATGCTCCTTTTGAACAGCAAGGATAAAAACGCAACAAGAAAATCAAGGGTTAACTAATAGTACATTCTAGATGGAAACTGGGTAGTAGACAGGACCACCAATTAGCTATAGAGATATTATTAGGACGGTGTCATCTTGCAGACAAAGATTGAGGACAGACCGTTGAATACGACAGGACAGAATGAGGAGAGAAAGTCAGCACAGAAGGAGATCGGAGCATTGAAGAGAGAAGGAAGAATGGTAAAAGCAGCAGAAATACGTGGTCAATAAAGAAGCTGGCTAAACAAGCAAGGCGTTAGAAAGAGGGCCTATCATGGAACGACAATTGGACCGAGCCAGAACACTGCATTCGAGTCACCCTGACATTGTATTTCGGTAACCCTCTATTTAAGAGGCTATCATTGTGGAATTGACAGAGCCATGGGAAGTACATATCGAGGGAGTAAATGAGGGAGAGACAAAATCCCAGCAATCGATGGGCGACTGTCAGTAGAATAAACCTTATTTAATTCAAAACAATTAAGAAACAAGTTATTTCAACTTATACTCATCACTCTTGTTGGTCCGGATGGAAACGGACAGGGCTTAATTTGTTAGGAAACCATAGTACCCGGATAAAACCCTTGTGGTCAGGCAGATGACCCGATACCTTTTCACGTCCGATTGGGGAATCGAACTCCGGACGTCTTCGTGAAAGGCGACAGCGCTATCAACTGTGCCACCCGACCACCCAGTAGAAAGGATGGCAATTTTTGCGTCTGGCAGTGGACGTTACAGGGGCTTCTCAATATTAAGTTCTTGTGGTGGGACCAGTTGACGCACCTCCGGAAGTTGTGGTAGACATCGTCGAAACAACTGAAGATGATCAAGACTCACGGGATAACGGCACGGACTTACTGGCATCATAACAGCTAAATATACATTGTATGAATGTAAACATTTTGTTCCTATTTCCGCATTATTTTAGAGTCTTCTTGTAAAATTTCCTTGTAAATAATGCAGTCATCCGCAAATACTCTGATTCCCTTCGGACTCCATGGTGGCGTGTGCCTTTAGTCATGAGCGCCGTACATATGCATTGCTGAAATCTACAGTGCCGCCATGCTGTGTTGTCTTCCCCTGTCCACGGTCGTTGTCATTTTTTCGATCAAATTAACAGATTGTATATACAGGCTTTTGACATTACAATGTTTCACCTACCTGGTTTGATTCAGTCGTTGACAAACGTCTGATAATACTAACCAAACACCAGGCAAGATTTCGGTATACAATGTTTTGCTAAATTTTCAGGCTCCTGCATTAGTCTTTGAATAATGAATATTTATACTTTTATGTGAGAAATGCATAAACATCCACATTCGGCCGATAATGACATTGTCCCCAAACTGCTTTAACCGGGCACAAGTTCTCACAACTTACTATGCCTTCTCTCATCAGTAACCAAATATAGAAATGACGAGAACACGCAATGCCTGAAAAGAGCAGAGAGGTAAGTTTCCGTAATTTATGATATTATCTCATCTGTATAACGGTGTATCTGTTCGGATTATTTTAATGACTTAACTGAAAATTAAATCGCTGTCAAAAAGTTTCCTCTCGCGCTCGAGTTTCATTGGTAACTCTTTTCTCATCCGGGTATGAACACCTAAGTGACTGAGCAGACGATAATGACGCGGAAAGGGCAATAAATCTATATGTAATTCACCTACTTACTAGTGTTTTAGAGTTGATTTTACTAATCACAAAACGGGAATAAAGCCTCGTGTTTCACTCTCGCGCTCTAGTTTCTCATTCTTCTCGTTCGGAGTCTCTTTGTAAATCTTTTCCTGAATCTTGTATTTTAACCATTGCGAAATTTAGATTATCTTCACACGACCTTCGTATAGAAAGGGGCAGATATGTGAGAATACCTCGTAATGAAAGACTTTGTTTAAAGTGTAATTTAGGCGATATAGAGGACGAATTGCATTTTATTCTTGTTTGTCCATTTTACAACGAAATAAGAACACAATACATTGACAGATATTACAGAATTAGACCGTCTATGTTTAAATTAATTAATTTACTTTCTGTTAGAAGTAAGAGGAAATTGAATAATCTTTCCAAATTTTTAATTTCTGCTTCACAACTGAGATCAAATGAATAATTACACATATTGTCCATCCTCCATAATATGTCTGTATTGCTGTGTATCACTCACTCAATTTTGTAAAATGTATTGTAATGTTTATGCTGATTAGCCGAAAGGCTNGGGGGGGGGACCGGTGACTGACACAGGGCTTTGTTCTCGTGAAACATGATTTTTTTCGGGGAAACAAAGAGGCGCGTTTCCCCTACGATTAACGGCAAATAGATATATAATCTAACATCAAGCTAGTAAACTTAGCGGAAGTGATCGAGATGAGACCGGATGCATTGATTAGTGATAAGATCGTATATAATGCAATCTCCTATGTATGACCATATAGCTGTTGATAGGACGTTAATCAATACTAAACCAAACCAATGTTTCAAATAACTTAACGACCTCAGCAAGATATACCTCCCACTTGCTCTTACAAGGTTTCTGGAGCAGACATTAATTGGCCATTACTCAATGAAAAATGTTCAGACCACAATTCCTTTCTTCATGACTGCCAAGTACCCAAAACTCCAACAAACAATTAATGAGAAGTTGCACTTACAATATTTCTGGTGCAGAAATTTGAAGTTTTAATGGTTAAAACTGAAGGAAAATAATTGCATCGGAAATTCCTTTTCTTCATGCACACGAACATACGATGTACTTTCACTGTGCCAAATAAGAGGAATTGCACTTACAATGATCACGGACAGACGGACGTTCATGGGGATTCCTATATACCCCTACACCTCCGTTTGCGTTGTCCAGTTTGACCCCTCTTGACGTTTGCTGGATTCAACCAACGGTCATTGACATTTTTTTTCTGTTGAAAACATCTGAAGGAACGCAGTTAATTTCGTTTTAAATATATGTCTGAAAGCGTGCTTTTATTTGAATACGGACTTTTTCTCGGCAACCGTGCTACATGTTAATGGTAAGTACCATCCGTCAATGACGTCATCTAACCGTCAATTAGTCCGGAACCACACCCTGATCAGATCATTTATCTCTCGAATTTGACGACTCTTCTTCGCCAGGAACTGATGCTAAGGAGGTGATAAAGTCTGTAATTGGATCGTATAACTTTTTTTCACCCAACTGATCATCAGTATGTCGATTGTTGTACCTAGTTCGTACTTTCTAAACATACACCGAGGACCGCCTATACGGCGGGGTTTTCCCCCGTATCGCCGACAACGAAGGTTGCCGGGTTTAAGGAGCATTTCAAATACAGGAAAATAACGAGAACTTCATGCGACAATACAGCTGTTGTGGAATATAGAAGTCGAAATAAAAGTTTCCAATGTTTCAACAACTGAGTTCTGATCTTATTATCGAAAAACACCACGTGATACGCGAATAAAAATGGGTCTTATCAAGGACACACGTACGCATTTGATCGTGAAAAGGGCTTAATTGCTGTTTTAAGACTATTAATAGAAACAAATTCTTTGAAAAACTCGGTGAATATGTTTCAAGAACATTAAACATAGAATATGAAAATTGCTTATGCATGGAATCTAACGGATAGGAAAGAGCTTTCGTCTAAATTAAAAAAACAAATCCAAAAAGTAATCTGATTTTAATTTAATCTTTCTTAGTTGTGTATACAATAGTCCTCTTGATAAGGTGATTATAAAAATCACAAGTGGGTGTAATATTGTCCGTGTCTGATACGCCTCTAAATGTGGGGCTAATGTGTAGGTTATCATATGTAGCGCATGTAGATTTAACATATGAATTAAGTGTCGAGAGATTATTGTTGATGACATATCTACACCCCACTGTGTCGAGCTTTGGGATTAATAAGCCTTTAATACATAAAAAAAAAATCATCAAAATTATTTATTTTCTTAAATATTGCTAAAATTGACTTTTTTTATATAATATCACATGTCAATCATTTTAAGTCCAAGGAACATATATTTTGCATTTTATATTTTAACGAAAGTGAAAATAAAAATTCAGAAATTCTAAATACGCCTAGACTGTTGTTAAGCTAGAGAGGTCTATTTAACTGAGACATGGTAGATATCAAGCAAATGAGGTGTGTCTAACAGAAACAATACTTGACATGCTTTGCTAATGTGTTGTAATGCATTCATTGGCAGGATCTGTAATGATACAGGCGCGCCAGACATTGGCGGCTCGGTACACGCGTTAAACTTTCCGGAAATAAGTGTCTTTTTGTTACCTTCTTGACTTCAATTTCATCACTTCCAGTGATATTGTGAAAATGTCTTAAAATCGCAATAGGGGTTTAAATAGAAAAATTGTGCTGGCAAGTTCCGCCCAATGTAATTTTGGGATGGGTAATGTAGGCGATCGTCTCCCGGGGAAGATTCCGGCTCACGATGCAATCCTTGTCCCTTCTAGTCTCAATTGTATGGACAATTACCCTAAAGCCATGAACGAGGTCTAAATGTTTTACTTTATGAAAGGAAACCATAAGCGTAGGCATTCATGTTGTACTAGAGAGACACCAATATACTGGATCGTTCTATTGCAACGTTATAGGTTACGGTTAATGTGGTCTAATGTCACGCACCGGAAGTAATTAATTAAGGAGGTCCTATATGTATCTGTTAGCCATTCATTAACGAGGACCGATGTACCCGGAAGTAATTAATTAACGATGTTACTTGAAACCGAAATCCAAGATGTTATATATACTTGGAATTCATTGAAGGAAAATCGATGTCTAATGTAACCGGAAATCATTAACAAGGTCCGGTGTGCCTGGAAGTCATTAATAAACAAGGTCCAATGTTTTAAAGACGTTAATCATGATTAAGAACTATGTTACCGAATGTAATTAATTGACAAGGCTCATTGTATATGGACGTGATCCACTAAAGAGTTTCAATGAAACCTTGGACCTGGAAGGAATTCATTAACGAGACCCAATGCTTTGGAAATGTTCCAATACTCCTGATAGTTTCATTAAAAGATGCGTTGTTCTCGGAAGTCATCAATTAACGAGATTTCTTTTTACCCGGAAGTTATCCTTTACCAAAGTCCAATTTATCCGGAAGTCTTTCATTCACGAGCTTCAAATATCCGTTTATTAAAGAGGCCCAATGCACCAAGAAAGCATTCATTAAAGAAGCAAATGTTACTGGAAATTACACATTTACGAGATCTTCTGCAAAAATGTTTTTCTATTTTCAGAGGTCCAATATTTCCAGAAGCGATTAAAAATAAAAAATATTCATTGTACCCGGAACTCATTAATTAACGTGGTTTCCTCATACCGGAAGTCTTCATTAACGGAGTCCAATTGTACCCGGCAGTCTTTCATATAGAGGTTTCCTTATACCCGGAAGTCTTCATAAACGAAGTCCATATTCATTTTGTATCCGGAAGTAATTCATTAACGAGCTTTCCTTATACCCGGAAGTCTTCATTATTGAAGTCCAATGTCTCTGGAAGCCATTTATTAATGAGGTTTTCTTATATCCGGAAGTCTTCATTATTGAAGTCCAATGTACCCGGAATTCATTCATTAACGAGTTTTTCTTATACCCGGACGTCTTCATTGACGAAGTCCATTTTACCCGGAAGTCATTCATTAACGAGACCCATGATACTCCTCGGACAGAATGTATTCATTAAAGGGGTTCAATGTATTCAGAGGTCATGTAGTCACGAAGTCTAATATTCCCGAAATTCTTTCACTTACCAAGTCAAACATTTCCGGAAGTCATGCGTTTGCGATGTCATTTGTACTTAGAAGTAGTACGTTAAAATGCTTATCTTTAAAGATGTTTGGTGATGTTTTTTGTTCAGCCATTACCTTAATGCTTAGACCTTAGTGCATTGTATTGTTTCAGCGACTGGAGTAACAGTGTTTATTTTAAAGAAACTAAAAGTACATTTTTGCATAAAGTAAACCTTTTATGTTCGCACACACATTTGAAATGAATACGTTCAATATTTCAACAGTACTGAATATAGCAATAGACATTCAATGTGTGTTATTCATGTAATATATATATAATAGTTACCGTAACACTCGCGCCTCGGCTTAAAATCACAGCTGATCCTATTCCGTCTTTGAGTATTGCAGAGTTATCTTCTCTTGTGAGCAGGTATTGATTGTTACGTCATTGGTTTGTGTGAGAAAATTGCGTCATTTTCTCAAAAATTGATGACGTTACTCTCACAAACAAATGACGTAACAATCAATCCCTGCTCACAAGTGCAGATAACTCTGCAATACACAAAGACGGAATAGCTGACGAAGATGGACTTTAGTTTACGAGGCCCCTTTTTTTAGAGAAAAGGATGCACCTTTCCCAAGAAAACATAAGCCGGATAACGGGATAACCGGATTAGAACGTGGCTATTCCGTCTATACGTATTACAGAGTTATCTTCTCTTGTGAGCAGGTATTGATTGTTACGTCATTGGTTTGTGTGAGAAAATTACGTCGTTTTCTCAAAAACTGATGACGTTACTCTCACAAACAAATGACGTAACAATCAATTCCTGCTCATAAGAGACGGAATACGTACTGTGCAACGGAAACAATGTTCATTTGGTATTATGCGGTAAGCACTTCACATGCGATGCTATCAAAACTTCCAATTTCAAACATTACAAACATGTATGTGAACGCTCGTAAAGTTTTGCATGAAATGGTAATAATTGATTATAGGACACCATGGTGAGAATGTACGATGTTATGTAGTAATTCGAGTGTACAATTGAAATATTTGGCTTAATTTCAATTTTCACTATGAAGAACGCTCAGTGCAATCCTGTACTTGAAGACTTGCTCCTCGTGTGAAAAGGAAGGCTAATTTGAGAATGAAATCCCAGTGGGTTAATTCTAGGTAAGAAATACGATTAAATGCTAATGTGTTAAGACTGGTCATAAAATTTGGACTGTAAAATATTTCTCCAAAAATAATAAAGTACCTATAAAACCAGCGATATCTAGAGAAAGTGAGCACGTGCTGAGATGCATGCTCGCTCGGACTCCTACTCTAGAGAGATGTGTTATCTTATGCTATCTATGTGAACCAATCTGATGCTGAGAATGTCGTCAATCGAACACTCTGTGGCGGAGAGGGGCTACTCGGTACGGCGGAGACGGGGAGACCGTACGGTGGAGACGGGGAGACTGGAGGTTATACAGCGAACCGAGCACGCCCATCACTCACCCATCGCTCGCGATACACATCACATACCGGTGTCACTCACTGAAGAATAACATCTCACAGACGAAGGTGGGGGGTAAATTGGTGAGTACCTTTCATCTTCATCGTAATTGTCGTCATAATCCTCACTAATCTCCTTTGTCCTATCCTCATAGGCGTCCCCCTCATCCTCGTCGGCGCCATCCTCCTCTTCCTCGTCGGCGCCATCGTCGTTCACGTCCACATTGTCGACTTTTTTTCGTCGTCGTCATCATCATAATATGACCTTTGCTAATTTTCTTTCTGTTTTAACATTATCATTGCCCAAACAATTGTGCAGATGATAGGTAACAGTTCTATCAAATTATTAACGCCGCTTTCTCGAATACAATTATATATAAGAACAAGTTATAGCAAGAAAGATAAAAAAAACCCACATAAATGATATTACCAGGCAGAACAAAAAAATAGTGTTTCTAATTATTATAAAATATTTCAAAACCTTCTATACTGGACATCGCAAAGTGGTGGTTCTGAACAGGTCTAAACATATATAGGATCTTAAATGAGTTTTCATTTCATATGAGATTTTATGAAACGAGACTTCGGAGTTTTTATTTTAGCGTGCCTTGGCAAACAAAAATTAAAACTTCGAGACGAGTTTCATAAAAGCTCACATGAAACGAAAACAAATTTAAGATACTTTTAATCACATAACTCAGAAAACTTATATTTTTAAAGGTTTTAAATCCAAAATTTAGAGGGCTTAATCAAACGGAGACAGCCATTTTGTTGCGCCATTCACAATTTATGACGTCAAGTCAGTGTCCATATTATGACGTCACAATTGATTTCTGACTAGCACAGCCAATGAAAAACGCTATTACACGGGCGAATTCACTGGATAACAGGCTGATTATGTGATAAAACTATGTTAGTGTCAGCCTAGACTGGCTACCAGCCCCCAATTGTTTATGAAGAATTTTTCAACTACAATTTTTTCTGCTAGCTTATCTCCCCCTAGTTTAATCAGACATCCAAGTGATCAAAATTATTAGAGTTAATTTTCTTTTCTACTGAATAATTAAATATCTATATAATATTCTAGAGACGGGGGCGAATTTAGCGTCAGCCGACAGGTTTTCATTTCCAAAAATCATTGTAATTTGCATATTTCAACGATGTAAGTGAAGAAGCAATTTTTTTTTTCTTTCATAAAATTGACGTATAGCTATATTGTTGACACTCTAGAAAGTAGTAACAAGACATGAACTGTTGCGAAGACACAAAGCATAAGTAAATCAATCAATAAAATAAAGCAATTGTTTTGCATATTCTGCAGTAACACGTATCGTGCATCCATAAACCATGCAAGTCCTACGAGATTTATGAACATGTTATCATGATTTTGACATCATCCATTAGTTGGATGATAGAATAAATCGTTTCCGACGTGATTTAAGCGGTCCTAATCTCATACTGAATGTCGAACCTTGACTCTTAGACTCATCATTTCGGAGGGAGTATGTGCGATTTTGTTTATGCTTCTAACAGGAAGGTATATCAAGCACACCTTCTCGGTGTAATTTATGATGCCCATTTTATATACACACATAACGTGTTGACATTTCTTTTGAAATTGCTAGTGTTTCAATATTTTCATCAGCGTGACACCGTTTATATTTTGATTTGATTTATTCGAGAAAGAGCGATTGCATATGGTCTTAGTATAGAAGCTGTTACTATCGCTATGTATTACCGCGGTATATGGTTAACGTATACAAGCAAGGTTTGTTTTTACACAGATTGTTTAATCCGGACATTGAGCATAACGAAATTCTGTCACAGTCGACCCTACAACTACAAAACCTTGATATTCTAAAAGAAATACACTCTTACCCAAGCCTTTTCCAGGATCACACTGTGTGCCATTTTGGGGACACTATGATACACCACACACGTCACATTAGTGATCTCTATGATACACCACACACGTCACATTAGTGATCTCTATGATACACCACACACGTCACATTAGTGATCTCTATGATACACCACACACGTCACATTAGTGATCTCTATGATACACCACACACGTCACATTAGTGATCTCTATGATACACCACACACGTCACATTAGTGATCTCTATGATACACCACACACGTCACATTAGTGATCTCTATGATACACCACACACGTCACATTAGTGATCTCTATGATACACCACACACGTCACATTAGTGATCTCTATGATACACCACACACGTCACATTGCTGATCTCTATGATACACCACACACGTCACATTAGTGATCTCTATGATACACCACACACGTCACATTGCTGATCTCTATGATACACAACACACGTCACATTAGTGATCTCTATAATACACAACACACGTCACATTAGTGACACTATCATACACCACACACGTCACATTAGTGACACTATCATACACCACACACGTCACATTAGTGACACTATCATACACCACACACGTCACATTAGTGACACTATCATACACCACACACGTCACATTAGTGACACTATCATACACCACACACGTCACATTAGTGACACTATCATACACCACACACGTCACATTAGTGACACTATCATACACCACACACGTCACATTAGTGACACTATCATACACCACACACGTCACATTAGTGACACTATCATACACCACACACGTCACATTAGTGACACTATCATACACCACACACGTCACATTAGTGACACTATCATACACCACACACGTCACATTAGTGACACTATCATACACCACACACGTCACATTAGTGACACTATCATACACCACACACGTCACATTAGTGACACTATCATACACCACACACGTCACATTAGTGACACTATCATACACCACACACGTCACATTAGTGACACTATCATACACCACACACGTCACATTAGTGACACTATCATACACCACACACGTCACATTAGTGACACTATCATACACCACACACGTCACATTAGTGACACTATCATACACCACACACGTCACATTAGTGACACTATCATACACCACACACGTCACATTAGTGACACTATCATACACCACACACGTCACATTAGTGACACTATCATACACCACACACGTCACATTAGTGACACTATCATACACCACACACGTCACATTAGTGACACTATCATACACCACACACGTCACATTAGTGACACTATCATACACCACACACGTCACATTAGTGACACTATCATACACCACACACGTCACATTAGTGACACTATCATACACCACACACGTCACATTAGTGACACTATCATACACCACACACGTCACATTAGTGACACTATCATACACCACACACGTCACATTAGTGACACTATCATACACCACACACGTCACATTAGTGACACTATCATACACCACACACGTCACATTAGTGACACTATCATACACCACACACGTCACATTAGTGACACTATCATACACCACACACGTCACATTAGTGACACTATCATACACCACACACGTCACATTAGTGACACTATCATACACCACACACGTCACATTAGTGACACTATCATACACCACACACGTCACATTAGTGACACTATCATACACCACACACGTCACATTAGTGACACTATCATACACCACACACGTCACATTAGTGACACTATCATACACCACACACGTCACATTAGTGACACTATCATACACCACACACGTCACATTAGTGACACTATCATACACCACACACGTCACATTAGTGACACTATCATACACCACACACGTCACATTAGTGACACTATCATACACCACACACGTCACATTAGTGACACTATCATACACCACACACGTCACATTAGTGACACTATCATACACCACACACGTCACATTAGTGACACTATCATACACCACACACGTCACATTAGTGACACTATCATACACCACACACGTCACATTAGTGACACTATCATACACCACACACGTCACATTAGTGACACTATCATACACCACACACGTCACATTAGTGACACTATCATACACCACACACGTCACATTAGTGACACTATCATACACCACACACGTCACATTAGTGACACTATCATACACCACACACGTCACATTAGTGACACTATCATACACCACACACGTCACATTAGTGACACTATCATACACCACACACGTCACATTAGTGACACTATCATACACCACACACGTCACATTAGTGACACTATCATACACCACACACGTCACATTAGTGACACTATCATACACCACACACGTCACATTAGTGACACTATCATACACCACACACGTCACATTAGTGACACTATCATACACCACACACGTCACATTAGTGACACTATCATACACCACACACGTCACATTAGTGACACTATCATACACCACACACGTCACATTAGTGACACTATCATACACCACACACGTCACATTAGTGACACTATCATACACCACACACGTCACATTAGTGACACTATCATACACCACACACGTCACATTAGTGACACTATCATACACCACACACGTCACATTAGTGACACTATCATACACCACACACGTCACATTAGTGACACTATCATACACCACACACGTCACATTAGTGACACTATCATACACCACACACGTCACATTAGTGACACTATCATACACCACACACGTCACATTAGTGACACTATCATACACCACACACGTCACATTAGTGACACTATCATACACCACACACGTCACATTAGTGACACTATCATACACCACACACGTCACATTAGTGACACTATCATACACCACACACGTCACATTAGTGACACTATCATACACCACACACGTCACATTAGTGACACTATCATACACCACACACGTCACATTAGTGACACTATCATACACCACACACGTCACATTAGTGACACTATCATACACCACACACGTCACATTAGTGACACTATCATACACCACACACGTCACATTAGTGACACTATCATACACCACACACGTCACATTAGTGACACTATCATACACCACACACGTCACATTAGTGACACTATCATACACCACACACGTCACATTAGTGACACTATCATACACCACACACGTCACATTAGTGACACTATCATACACCACACACGTCACATTAGTGACACTATCATACACCACACACGTCACATTAGTGACACTATCATACACCACACACGTCACATTAGTGACACTATCATACACCACACACGTCACATTAGTG